TAAATTAAATTGGCTTTGGTATTGAGCTAATTTCACTTTTATATTTTTAATACCTGGCTCCCTCAACAAAACCCTTATCCCGACTCAGTGAACCTAGCAACGCTGAGCTATAGCCTGGGTAACAACCGCACCTTTGAATGGTTAGCATTTTATGTTACAAATCCAACAGACAAAGTCTAAATAAAGGATATATATTTTTTACAATATGCAGTATAACACAACATTAAATAAACAATATAAAATAATGAAAAAAAGATAAAAGTAAAATTATAATTTGTTACGCTATTGCTCTAATTCTATTAACAAACTGATTTAATGATAAAACGCACATGTCACAATTATCTTCAATTTGATTATATAATCGACACATTGATCTTAGCGGGGCATGCATGCCCTGATTAGTATTAGATGCTTGAACATAAAAAGTCTGTCGAAATCTAGAATTAACTCTTGGTACAAAAAAGTTGACTTTTTGTAACTGTTTGGAATCAAATATGACTCCATTAATTAGTTTATACAAGTAAATCAGCTGAGCATTTCTTCTTCTTATTTCCAGACTTTCCATGTCAAAGCAAATTAACGCACTTACATAGTCAAAATTGTATAAGGGATAATATCCATAAATTAGATAACATAAATATCTGCAAAATTTTCTTTGTAGTCTTTCAATGCTATCAATATATACATTGTAATATGGTGACCATATAATGCAGGCATATTCAAGTTTGCTTCGTACATAAGCGTTGAAGAGACATTTTAATGAATCTATATTTTTAAAATCCTTAGTGTTTCTAATTATAAAACCCAAGGATTTATTTGCCGCTGATATTGTGGAATTAATGTGAGTAGCAAACGACAAGGTGGAATCAAAAATAACTCCTAAATCCTTAATAGTAAGTACCTTTTTTATTGGAACACTGTTTATTGTATAACTGAAATCAATGTTGTTAACTTTTCTCGTAAATGTTACATTACATTTCTGTATATTTAAATATAAATGATTTCTGTTACACCAATCAGACAATGTGTCCAAATCTTTCTGCAGGCTTTGGCAGTCATTGATGTTACAAACAGGTTTGGCTAATTTGAAATCGTCTGCGTAAAGAAGGTTGTCTGAGCAAATATTATTTGTAATATCATTGACAAACATTAAAAACATTAGAGGCCCTAAGTTGCTGCCTTGAGTCACACCACTAGTCGCGCAGTACACATCTGATTTACAATTTTTGTGCTCGACAAATTGATATCTATCCAATAGGTAAGATTTAAATAGTTTTATCATTCTGTTACTAAAACCAAATGTGCGTAGTTTATTTATATATATATATATATATATTAATAATAATATGAAAATTAAACTTTGACGTTGAATAACTTTTAAACAAATAGACTAATGGAAAAATTATAAGAGACCTTTTTTGTGGAGCGTTAAATTCTCTATAAAAATATGTATGATTTATAATTTTTAATTTATTCGTTCCCAAGTTATAAAATTATAAACAACAAAAGTAATTTTTCCTATGTTATTTCCATAGGAATCTTAGATAGGAATGCGCACTATCTTAGAGTTAATATTAAGAGCTTAAATTTTCAGGGAATTTTTTTTTATTAATTTGGAAGCATTTGAGCCCCTGGGAGCAAAGAAATTTAAAAATAACCTTATTAAGGACCACCCTAATATATATATATATATATATATATATATATATATATACATATATATACATATATATATATATATATATATATATACATATGTATATATACATACGTCTAGGCTGTGAGCCAAGGTGATCACTGCGGTAGTTTCTAGTAAACTTAATTCGTAAATGTGGTTGTTTAACAATCGTTGTTATTCGTCTATTTGTTTATAGTTATTTATGATTGTGATGGTCACGGCCTGGGGTACCCCATACTCATGAAAACGGCAGTAACCCAAGGAGATTTTAAGAATCTCGCGAATTCAAACATAACCTCAACAACTTCGCAATGTTGTCAAGTGTGGCCAAAAACGGTGTGATCATCTAGTCTAGTCGGAAAGGTACCTACGTTGTGTTATTTGAACTCGCTTCTAGATAGGAAGGATGCCAGAGAGAGGAAATTAGATTAAGTAATAAAAACACACAAATAATGGTTGTCAGCTTTATATTCATTGTATTTGAATATTAGTTTTAACAATAGGTTTTATCAAACGTTTTGAGATTATTAGTTTCAGTTAGCTTTTTGTCACTTTAGGGGATTTAGATTTACTAGTTTAATACGGTAGATTTATAGAAATATATATATATTTCCAAGTTTATAGGTTAAAGGGTTTTATTTCCAAAGTTTAATAAATGCAGATTCTTAAGTATTACCAAGCCAAATGTAATATCAACTAAATTTATAATAATGATCATCAGTAACAATATATCAGCTCATTTTGTATAAACAGTCGAAACAGAGATACAATTCAATTTTATACAGCAAAACCTTCATTCTTATTAATCCCATTACATGGCGCAATAAATAGAGAAACAGTAATAATATACAATATAGTAATCATAGAAAATATAGTAAGGATAATAATAATAATAATAGAGCAGATAATAATATCAACGTAATAATCAAAATAAGGCATATAGTAATAATAATATGTATGTAATATTAAAAATAAGGAATATTAAGGTTTAATTTATTTAATATAATGATATCGACTTATGATACAAAATAGATGAATTATAACGTCTCCTGAACTAGATAAATAAATATCAGAGTTAAAAAACCTTAGGAATCCACATTAAAATAATAAACTTGGTCAAAGCTTTACAACCATTTTAAATAATTAATTAAATTGATTAATAAAATATTTATATCATACCTTGTATGTTTATACTCAAAAATACCTACAATTTTTTGTTTAAAAAAATCATCAATCTCTATATTTTTTCAAATTCATTCGCCTACTACCATCAACAACCCTGTTACTCTAGGAGACCATTTTTTATTAACAACTTTACTTTTAATACTGGTTTGGTAATATCCCAAACTTGCTGTACTCAAACTAACAATCTTTCACGCTAAGACTCGATATAATTTAAATAAACTTTTAAACGTTTTTTTAACACAGCTGATTGAAATTAATTTGTCAATGTCATCTCATTCTGTCAATATGACTTTAACTAAGTGCGTATAGTTGGTTGTCACTTTTTTCCTTACAAGTATCAAAAGTCGGGCCAACACATGATATAAGTGGGATAAGAGCTTTATTAACGTACGCATACGAAATTTGCCCAACGAGTGCGTAGCACGAGTTGGGCAATCGCAAAAGTACGTTAATAAAGCGTTATCACACGTATATTGTACAAATTTTTATCTACGCCTCTAAATGGAAAAATAAACGGTAATTATTTTTGTCTAAGACTTTAATTTAGGGTTATTTTGACATTTTGACATTTTGACTTTTTTATTTGATTGGTTAAAAGCAGAGAAAAACGCGTGCGTTAATGAACTTCTTATCTCACTCAAAATGAGTGGGATAAGAAGTTCTTATCTCACTGGCGTAGATAAAATAAATTTAGAACCTAACAATTTGAAATTTAATTTTTTTTTCCTTTGAAACCTATTATCGTGACCCCTATCTACCTCTAGGGTTTAGTATTTTTTCCCTAGAGACGTTATTGATTAAAATACTTGGCGCCCTTTTGCATATTTACTATATTTAATTGACCCAGCCCATCTTCACTGGGATTTAGCCGTGAGCTAAAATTCTGTCGGGTGACAGAGAGGTAGCCCTCCAAGAGAAGGGGAAGGTTACAAACGCTGTAGCGTTTTTAAAAATTATTTGAGAAACGTAGGAAAAAAATTCAATGACCAACTTGTATGCGTAGATTCCCAATATACAATAAAAATATTACATGTTCCATCCTAATTTTTATACTAAATTATATACCTAAATATTTTTTATTAACAATGTTAATAAAGATAAATAAAGAAATTATTTAAATAATTATTTCAAATGGATTTATTGCATTTTGTTTGATCGTTTCTCAATTGGACATTGAAATTGCATAGTAAATATTTTTGCTCATTTGAATATCTTTTATGGTTACAAATATTTTTAAAATCGGACGGTAATTTTAGGAAAAAAACTGACTTCTAAGAATTTTTGAAAAAATTGCCTTGTTAACAAAGTTATTAAAGGTTAGATATACATAACTTTGCTAACCAAGTTTTAATGATCAACAGGTTTTTTGTGTTCAAATAAAATAAAATAAAATAATATAATATAATATAATATAATATAATATAATATAATATAATATAATATAATATAATATAATATAATATAATATAATATAATATAATATAATATAATATAATATAATATAATATAATATAATATAATATAATATAATATAATATAATATAATATAATATAATATAATATAATATAATATAATATAAAATACATATAGAATTGTAAACATTTACATATTGTTAAAAAAACATATATTAGCATAACAGGATAAAATTGTAGTTATTGTTCAAAATATTCTTCAATAGAATAAAATCTTCTTTCTTTTAGATACGAGGATACAGCATTTTTAAATTTACGAAAGTTATTTAATTTTATAATATTACTAGGTAACTTGTTATACAATTTTATCGCTGTTATTATTGGGCCTTTGTATACTTGCGTTAAATTGTGTGTGGGGACATAGAGTTTGTTTGTATTCCTTGTTTCGTATTTGTTTATATCACCGCACTTTTTGAACTCTTTAATATTAAGACGGAAATACACTATATATTCTAGTATATAAATACATGGGACGGTTAAAATTTGATTACATTTAAAATAAGTTTTACAATGACTATTATAGGGTAAGTTTCACATAGACCTTAAAATACGTTTTTGTGCTATGAAAATTCTATTACTAGAGGAGCTATTACCCCAACACAATATTCCATAAATAAAATAAAATAAAATATGAAATAAATTGAAATGTTTTTCTAAAAAATACAATTTTTGTGTGCTTTGTATATGTTTTGTAGGTTTTTATGGTTCTGTTCTCTTAATTAATTGATGTGTCATTAAGGATTTAAGGATTTAAGTACCTAAACAAAAGGTAAACAAAATATAAATTTTTATCGTAATTTTATTGGTGTCAATGAAAGTCGGTTTTTAGATAGTAAGTTCCCCTGGCAGTTAAAGGAACAGGGTCTCCCATAGGTATACTGTCTCCGTAACAATTTCTTCCCATAACAAAATCTTCATAGGTTGAACAATGATACGCCATAAATGGTTTGGAAATATTAATACTATTGGCAAAATATTGCCAGCTTCTTCCGTGACTGCAGGCTTCTATCATCTTAAAAAAATAATTATTACAAAAAAAAAAAAATAAAGCTTGCACCTCAAGGATATTTGCACATCCGGGTTGAGGAGGGCATCCACCGTTAGGATAAAAATCAACATGTCCTATGGCTGTTTCTATACCTAGGACACCCATACACGTATGTATTACATCAACAAATTCAGCATCGCTTATATTTACACTTCCACCGGATACCAAAGACACTATTCCAAAACCTGGTAAAGCTGGATCCAATCCTAAAAAAATACATAGGCATACTTGTCGGATAAAAATAGTTATTCATGTCATAAGGCTGAGCTCAAAGTTTGAAGTCCGACGCTACAACTGAGCGAAGCACAAAAAGACACGTCTCAGCCAAATGGCATACAAAAATTCTTCAAGGTACAGTTTTATTTGTTAAACGTTACATACACTTACAATAGTTGTATGTGTATTTTATATATCGTTTAACAAATAAAACTTTAAAAGACGTGTTAGGACCAATAAAAAATGCGATAACTGCTGACACATCTGAAGCTATCTAATCTCACTTAATAATTATAATAACAATTATGAACCGAGAGATGAAAAAAATACTTTAAAAAATTAATGTATTTTTCTTAAATAATTTTAAAGTAATAATAATAATTTATTTTTAGTACCACAATATAACAACAATATTTTACACAAGTCATAAAAGAATAAATTACCTTGAAAAAAAGGCTTTAATATTATAAAAAGCATTATCACAGTTCCGCTCTTTACCTCAATGCAAACGGTCGTGTATCTAGCTCGTCTAACTTTCATAGTTCAAAATTTGTAACACCAAATTAACGATTCTATACGTAATTTACCAGATACACGTGCAAAAACGGTGTGAAGTGCATGTGGCACCTTCACCCGGATTAAGCTCCAGAGTGATCTACCTGTTAAAAAGATGGTGCGAGTGAGGTCTAACGCGTCCGTGCTTCCATAGTGATAGCGGTGTTCATATTTATAATACAAAATCAACGATTATACACGTAACCTACCAGATTCAAATGGAAAAAGGGTGTAAAGTGCGTGTGGCACCTCTACCTAGATTAAGCTCCAGAGTGTTCTAGTGGGCGATCGAGGTCAAGGAATAACTTTATCGCATCTGCCAATGGTCAATCACCTGAACTTCAAGTCTGCTTGAAGTGTATAAGTAAAATTACCTAAATTGAATGACCTTAATAATAATATCCAAATCCAAAATCCTAACGCAAACAGTAAAATTGTGGTTTTGAGCGTGTAGGCTGTTGTTTGCGGTGACTCCAGAGAGATAGTAAAATAAAAGTATGTTGAGAAAGTGAGCAAGCGCAGTCAGGCTAGGCATTTGTCAAACGTCATTGAATAATAGTAATGTCAACCAAAATAGTGCCGATGATGATAAGGATAATTCGAAAATAGTATATTAAAGTACAAGTTGCAGAAGGCCACATATTCTCGCACGAATTCGAAATTTGGCCTCGAGCGACGAAGGAGCGAGTGGACGAACGAATGAGTGCCAGAATAGCCTTCTGCAACGTGTGATTTATACTATTTTCTCGATTTTAACTTTTATTTAGGTTTTTTTAATTGTTTTGTGGTCGTTGTTAGTTAGGGGATTTTTCTCGCAAAATGGCAGTTGGCAACACAAAATGACAATATTTGTTATCCTGCACAAGTACAACCTGAACTGCACTTTTTTACATTAAACTTAAAATTTTGCATTAAAATGCATTGTTGGAGCAAACTTAATATTACAAAACAATAATAAAGGCTTCATTTTCAATAAAAGTAATGAATTTGAGGTTATTAATCAGTTTGACATTTTGGGGGTACCAATACTTAAAAACTAAATGTTACCAAAAATCGTTTAAGAATGAGCTTCATTCTTCAACGATTTTGCGTGCGAGAATATGACATTCTTACATAAAAATCGAGAAAATAAATTATATATTAATTTTTTTTCTGGTTGACACCGAGTGGGCAACCGTTCTGTTCTATGTATCAATTTTTTTTTTAATTTTTATTAGGGAAGCGGGTGCTTATGTCAGGAATCAATACTCCTATCAAACGATTCAACTCTAATTATCCGTAAGCGAAAACCTAGAATTTTTATTCCTAAAATTACAAAATATTGCTATTGGAATGTTATACAGAACTAAAGACAAAAATATGAGTAATTTTTTAGAAGACGTGAAAATATATTTTCTTTTTTTGTTTCCAAATTTTAATGGGGATAATTTTTGTTTAAATTTTTTTAATTTATATTAAATTATTAATGAACTCTCCAGAGTCACTAAAAGAACTAGCAAATTGTTGGAGCTCATTTAGTGAATACGTAAAGAGAAAATAACACTAATTTATACAAACTATCTAGCATACTTGGTTTCCTAACTTCCTTAATAAGTTTAAGGTTCTATTCCTATCCTATTATATGACCATTTCTGTCCTGAGCCAGATCACGTCAAGTGGACCCCCCATTTTCCACTTGGTAATAGAATTTAAATTTTAATACATCTATGGTTAGTTGTCACTAATAACTATATTCCCTTAAAATATTTTTTTTTTAATTTTAATTTTAACAAAGTTTTTTTATAACAAAGATTTTTCTCACTTTTAATTAAAAAAATAATTGTGAAAAACTGTTGACAGTTACGTAATGAAATTTTCAGGACTTATAGGCTAATATATGTATTTTTATAAACAAATATGTATTTTTTTTTTAGTTTTTTTCATTCTTTTTTTGATCTTTGAAATATTCAATTAAAATTTTTGGTAAAATCTCTATTTCATGGTTACATGTACTGGATATTAAGGTATCATATCCTGAAAAAAAATTTCACTGCCCGGCATTACTTTAAACATTATTAATTTTAAACTGGAAGCTTTGATTTTGCCGCACTAAAATTTGAAGGGGCGTATAGCCATAGTTTGTTTACCGTGCGCTTTAGCATAAATTGTAATATTTTCAATAATAAATATATAGTCTTCCAGTATTTCACAAATTTGTAATCAATAAACAATAAAATTATTGGATGGATTAATAAGATTTTGTATTGTTAAATTTTTTATTCAAGTTTTGTTTAATTTTACGTTGCAACCCAACCCAACCAAAAACCTACAACACGGAGCAGATCCCGAAAAACCACTAATACATATAATGCCCTTGGAAACCTAAAGCAGAACATACATATTTCTTGTCACAATCTTGGCACTTAAAAAAGGACATCTTTAGTGATATGTTAAACAAATAACCAAAAGTGCTTAAAGTACTTTTCACGTTTTCTAAAGATGTCAACATCGTTGGCGAAAAGTACTTTAAACACTTTTTGTTTTGTTGTTGGGGAATATTTCTAATATTTATTTAAAAATCTTGACAATTTATTTCGTAGATTCCCGACTAAGTAATCCATCCCGCCTAGGTAGGCCTAGGAACATTTTTTGTATTATCAGTGTCATAATTTAACATTTAAATAAAATATTTAATAATAATCCTCTATACTTAATTATGTATACCTGTAAGTCTTCCAATTTTGGCTTGTTTAACTCTTCTTGCTGCAAAGCCACTTACATGCGCTCCCAAACTATGACCAATTAAATGCAAATCTTTAGGATCTGCTCCAATTTTGTCAATTAAGAAATTTAAAAATAAACTATAATATTCTGCCACTTCTGGCGTAGCCCTCATAGGAATTGGATAAAAAACATGATCTGCTATGTTACTCCAATCCATAATAAACACATTAACATCATATATTTTCAAGTAGGAATTTTTTATGGATAAACATGTATCAGATTTACCACTAGACATCCAACCATGAGTTATAAATTTAGTTTTTTTATTTTTGCTAAAGGGTGATTTCAATAACTCATCAATTGTTCGAATTTCTTTACCCATAGGTAAAGACCTATAAATATATAAGTTTATGTTTTTATCTTAAAATTATAATAGGTTTCTGGGTATAAAAAAGGCAAAAGAATGTTGTCAACGTTTAATCATAAATAACTTTTTGAAAATTGCATCGATTGTAAGGATTTTTCTTTTGCATATTGTAAACGCGTGATCTAATAAATTGATAAAGAGGATAAAAAGTGTAATTTATTTCTGAATGCTTTGTGAAGCAGTCGCAATTTCGGTATCGAATATTCTGTTTTTTATTATTCTAAAAACTTTTCGGGTTTCAGTTGCAAATAAACATTTCAACACAAGCTACAATGTATTTAGATTTAAAAAGTTATTTAAGATTTAAAAACTTAAAAGGTTTCTTTTTAATATTATAATATACTATTGAAAAAACCTAAAACTAAATACCTAGTATATAAAGTAAAATATACGTCTTTTTCAATTTCAATAGGACCTAATAGGCTTATTCTAGAATTAGTTTGTAGATACCCTTTTCTTAATTCTCCATTTTTTCCAGGAAAAAATATAAATTCGGTTCCATATCCAGGATATTTTGAAGTCAGATTTGTTAAATAGTCATTCCTATTAGTAAACGCCTCTAAAACAATTAAAAAGTTAGTTATTGTTGTTTGTAATATTAGTAATAATATGAGCAATATCAAACAACCTTGTATTAATTATTTAGGAATATAATATATTAAAGTTAAAAACACTGCATGTTTCCCTGACTATAATATAATACGATCTACATAGTTAAAATTATAACAGGTTATGGACCCAGATCACGCATAAGTTAAAGTTAAAGTTTATCAAAAATTATTTCCCTTATTATAAAATAAACCAATCAAAAGTCTTCAATTTTCGAATAAATGTTGTTTAGATAAGTGATTAAATAACTAGAACTGTTAAACTGCTACTATTTTTCTCATTATAAAATGAACCAATCAAAAAACCTTGAATTTTCGAATAAATTTTGTTTAGATAAGTAATTAAATCACTAGAACTGTTTAACAGCGATTAAATTTTAGCCTCCATATTGGATTTGGTTGGAATAATAAAAAATAAAACCCCTCGACCGCTACACGGTATTGCGATTTTATTAAATTATTTTGCATTCAACATTTTCCAAGAAAAACTAAACAAAAAACTACTGACCTAGTTTAACCGATTAAATTCATAGTTGTCGTGATTTAACATATTATTAAATTTTAGCCTCTATTTTGGATTATTGTTTACGATTTTATGGTGTTATTTACAAGTTTTAATTTAAATTTTTAAAATTAAATTAAAATAAAAATAAAACCCCTCAATCGCTACGCCGTGTCGTGGTTGTATTAAATTATTATGCATTCAACATTTTCCATGAAAAACCAAACAAAAAACTACTGAGCCTAGTTTAACCGATTAAATCCATAGTTCTCGTGATATGATTAACCACATTAACTGGCCGTCTGAAAATTCCTGACAAGAATTATTTTAAAAGGGCGAACCTAGTTTGGAATATGACATTAATAAATGGCTCAAGGACGATGCTAAAGCTTAGTAGTTATTAGTTAAACGCAGCTTGGTGCTTGGAGTACCTTACCTGGGCCTAGACATGGTTACTGTTAAATTGACCCAACAAGATAATGTAACGGAAAAGGAAAAAGGTAAGTAGCCGACAACAATGGCTATAAGGGTGGACTGGGGGAGGGCGGCTGACTTGGTGGTGTGCTCGGCCTCCTTACTATTTGATTCCGCTAAGCCGCTTTCAACACGAGAGGTAGTCGAGGTGGTGGAGTTGTGCAGGAGTATGAACCTAAAACTGCTGGTGGGTTCCGATGCCAATGCACACAATGAAGTATGGGTCAGCACGAATACCAATACGAAACTAACTGCACACCAAGAAGATGGAACTCTTCCTTTCAGGGCGGCCAGCAAAGCAGATGGGAAGTCCGTGGAAAGGGCCTTACACACAGTTGTATCAAAGATACACACATCAACAAAGTCTTAAAATAATTGTAAAAATTTGCAATAAAAAAATTATTTTTATTCAATTTTTTTTTTTAGTTTTTTTGTATGATATTTTTTTATGTATTTTAATTATTTGATATAATAATGATTTGTTTTTATATAAAAACAAAAAAATATTAACTTAATTCAATGGTTTTTATTAACTGCAATAAAATGCAAAAAACCTATAATCTGCTAAAAAGAATAATCAGTTGAGTAAGTAAAATTATGTGGAGAACACATTTAACCAATGAAGAAATATTGAGAGCAGTTGGGATGAATGAAGCGGGTGCAACTAAACAAGCAGTTTCCACTCGGCTAGAACCAAAGGATGATAAGCAGACTGTGTCAACGCTATCGATACACCAATAGTGTACATAAAAGACATCCAGGCCGAGGAAGGCTTACAATGGCAAATCAAGATGGCTTTATCTTTTACAGGCGAGAAGATACCGATATCAAAATGCATCTGAGTTGGTTGCTGAATTGCAGTTGTTACAGTTTGTGACTGTAAGCGCTCAGACCATCAGAAGAAAATTACATGAAAGGAATCTTTATACTAGACGCCCACTTAGAGTTTCCCCTTTGTCCGCTGGAAATCGAGTAGCTAGACTTATGTGGGCCCAGGTCAAATTGGTCTGATGAACAATGGTCCCCAGTTTTGTTTAGTGATGAATCTCGGTTTTGCCCCTATCTAGACTTAAGTCGAACGAGGGTATGGCAATTTCCTGGACCAATAGCGCGGCTAGAAACAGCTCAGTTTACATATGGTATACATATTAGTGTAATTATACACATATACTTACAACCAAACTTATATGGTATCACCCAGTTATTACGAGAAAGAGTAGTAAAAGTTATAGGGCCTTTTCATCACAAATCGACCAGGCTTACTTTTCAACGAAATTTTTTTAACAGTTTCTCTACCAAAATCGATGAGACCCTTATTTTTTCTTTTTGCTTAAATTTGTAGGAAATTTTTGAAAGAACAGAAACATCGATTTTTATCTTTTTAAGAGTGAATTTTTTTCTTAAAAATGCGATAACTTGGGCAAAATGTTTTGATCGTTACAATTTTTTTAATTGTAGATAAATGTTTACTTCATTAAAAAAAAAAATTAAATAGATTAACTTTGACATTGCCACATTTTTTTTACTTCATATTTTTTGTTTGAAGTTAATAATCTAAACAACTTTCAGTTAGCTAAATTTGTCGTTTCGCAATTATTATTTTTTTAATAAAAATGCCATTTTCTAGTAAATTCCTGGTTCATCGCAAAAATTTGGTAGTTTATCTAGGGTCATGAAACTGGAGTGACCTTTAAAAAGTGTAATTTAGAAATGTTTGTCATATTTAACATATTTTTGTCACTTCCGGTTTCACCGGAAATGGTCTTAACGTTTTATTTTTTAATGAAACACCATATGCATTTTTACATATTTTGATTCAAGATAACATTCTGAATACATACATAATATGTCATTTGTCAATTTTTAACAGGTCAAATCATTTTTGATTAAATGTTATTTCTATATCTAGAGTTTACGCCAAAACTATTTTTTTTTAATTTGATACCAAATATTAATGCATATTTTAATAATATCGTTTTCAAATTTTAATTAAATTTGAATTTTTATTAGGTTTTAATATGTGTACAAAAGTAAATAAATTAAGAAGGCTTTGAAACCTTTGTGTTTAAAAAAAGTATAAGATTTGACAGTTTCTTAGTTTGTTTTGCTGGTAAGCTAACACTTTTTATGAGTATGATGAGTTTGAGTATGAGTATAAGAACGTATGGCAGGCCCCATCGGAAACGCCTTAAACTGATCTTCCAGGGTTATTTTACCCCCTTTCGGTTCTACTACGTATCCCCCCCCTGCACAGCGTTATCTGTGTTTGTTGGATCCGAATTTTCACGACAGAGTCGATGGTTAAGGTCACTCCCGGATTGTTGTCGCCGGGCCGGGCCATACGCCCGATTTAGGCTAGTGGAGTGTAACACAAGGAGGGACAATATTTTGGTTTTTGGGGGCCTTAAATTGACCCAAAACTAAGTACAATCCGGACTCCAGGGTTTTAGTAATAACCCCATTCAATTGGGGTTCATGAATGAGGCTTGGTTCATTAGAACGTTGCTTGGACATCCTTGCTGGTCTTTTATTTCATCCGGGACTCAGTCCGGGTCTGCTGGAATTCGGAATCTGCTGCACGCAGTTGTTTGCCCCACTATGCAATCCATATCTTCGCTCTAGAGAACTATCAATAAATAGTCTTTGGTCGGTAATGTGATTGCCGGTTACCGATAGTTTTTATTTTAAAGTATAAGTTATGGGTGCCTTACTTTGTCATCGTTTTGTGGTTAAAATTATGTTACATTTTCTAACAATTATCGTGCTGTTATTGTTCCCAGTCCTACCCATAACCAATTTGTGAGTGATTGTTTAAGTACGCCTCTGTATTGTGTTCATTTTCCATCTGGTGTTGTTTTTACTTTCCCCACTCTCTTAGAATAAATCACTTAAAAATAACTCGTTATAGGTTATTTAACTCATTGTCCCAGCGGAAATGCAATCGCTAAAGATTAGACAAATTTTACCCAATGCAACAGTTAATAATGGATTTGGTTTAAAAAAATTTTTTTTAGAATAGTTTTTGTTTACTTACTAAAGCAATCGCTGGTGACTTATTTTAATTTGTCTAATTTAACTATTTAAGTATCAGAAAAACTATTTATTAAAAACGACTATTCGTTGTTTTCATGTTGTGGTAGAAATAGTGCTTTTTTTTCTTACTTGACAATTAAGAAATTGCATTTATATTTATTTTATACTGTTTGTTTTTTTACTCTCAGGTCTCGCAGTTTGTTTATTTAAGTGAATATTAGAAAAAAATTTGCTTACTTAGTTAAGATTTATGTGTTTATTAAGTACTACTTGTTACGTCCTATACTGCGGAGAGTACATAATTTTAAGTCGAACTTGCTTTACTTAGCCTATGCATTCGGCATCTTAAGTCTATTTAATGTAGGGTTCGTTAACCCTGTTCAACTCTTTTAAAGTTCTTTCTTGTTGATTTTTACGTGCAAATATTAAAATACTTATCTGAATTTCGCAGATGGTTCCTTGTCACCTCGTAAATGATCTCAGGTTCCTGCCGCGATGAACCACCTGTTCAGGTGGGTGGTTCCGTCGCTCCGTCAGGGGTGGCAATTCACTTCGCACTTTTAACCTTTTAGATATTTTGGTTTTAACATGCACTGATTATGCACTGAGTATACTTGTTTATAGTTTGGAGCGGAAAGGCACGTCTCACCCGTAGAAGCGATACTATCGAACTGTGTGAAAACATACGCTTACACTTTTTATAATATAAAATAAAAATAATAATTAAGATATTTAAAATCAAAGGGGTGTAAGTAATGTCGAAAAGGCACAAATCCACCTTTTTTCATTTTTCCGTCATTTTGCCCGTTCCGTTGAAATCGCTTAACTTTCGAACGAGTGGAGATTTTTCGATCAAACTCTAGGAAAATAATAATAATAATAATAATAAATGTATTTATTGCCCAACAATTTTCAAAATATAGGACATGCATATTAAAATATTACAGATAAAAAAAACATTAAATAATGTACATTAGTGGTGTAAATATAAATAAATAAATGAATAGATACATAGACAGTATAGCATCAGTCAGCTTCCAGCACATGAGAAGGGACCACGCGATAGCGAGTGCTCTTGAAACGTAAAAGGTTAAAAACCAACAATAATTTTTAAAATGTGCAAACCAATTATAGTGAAACAAACAATTTTCATAGAGTGCAAACTAAACTAAACTAAAATGGTGCAACGGTCAATGAAGACTGAAGTGTTAAGTGATGAATGAGTTAAGTGCCACCTGTCATTGGACGCTTTACACTGGACAAACAAAGGAGGTCAATCAAGAAGGGAGGTGGTCATCCGCAAAAAATTTGATAAGTATCCTTAAGCATATTCATGACCTAACACATAATCTGCAATTTAAATTAAACACGACGATATCTTTAAAACTCAAGAAAGGCACACTGCGTAGACCAATAAAGCTGTCAACAAAAAATAAGGCAAATCCAAACGAGACCAATAATAAACACTAGACACACAGAATAAACTAACACACAGCATTAATAAATAAATGCATTACTTAATTTTGGAATTTAAGAAAAAAAGACAAAACTCTATCACAAAACGTGCTTGGGCAACACAATAACTAATAATAAAAAAAATTGTTAGAAATTTCGCACTTCTGCGGCAATAAACAATTAAAAAAAACACCAAAAGCTACAAGTTACACCCAGCGACTGAACTATCTATTGATGGTTTTTGGCATCAAGACTAAAACACGGGCAATGACAATAACGAACAAGACGAAGACCTCGACTAGGAAACTTCACCCCTGCAGCGAAATAACAACTCCCGAACTCCAAATAGTAATCCCAAATGTTTGGAGTAATACTAATCGACTGGTCTAGGGGGATTCCGGGTCGTACTTAGTTTTAAGTCGGCGTAATTGTCCCCCAAAAACCAACACCTTCCCGTCCCTCCTCCATACCCCACTGAGCGTATAGCA